TGTGGAATGTAGGGATGACCGTGATATGCGAAGGGTAGTCGATGGAGTATATGTGTATATGAGTGCGGCGATAGCGAGCGAAAGGTGATTATTAGGAGCGAGTGATGAAGAGAGTGTTTAGGGTAAGTAAAGATTGCATTATATCTGAAAGATTGTGAGAGATGTAGAGCAACTCGGCATCTTGAAGTAGATGTGTGCGCTGCAGACATCTTCTGTCAGTGGTGCGTGAGGTCGTCGTTATATGTCGGTTTTGCGATTTCTGTGCAGCGGCGCGCCGATAGGGTCTTTACAGTAGCAGCCCTCAACGCGGGTGTACCCATAGAGGATGAGCGTCGACAGAACGCCGACAGAGCGGCGGCGGAGCGGCGATCAATGGCATCCGCTTTGGGACTGACGTCGGCCCGTTGTGCGGATGCAGGATGCGCGTTTCAGATGGGCGTCGAGCCGACCGCGTGGGGTTAATTTCAACGTCGTGGCTCGCACGTGCCCCCTGCCGTCTCATGCTATGACTCCTAAGAGACCACATTGACTTTCGGAACTTGCAGCGGTGAGCGGTTCAGCAAACATGGCCGCATAGTGTGCCTGTACCCACTGCTCACGGCCCACTCTAGGCGTGTTCACAAACAACCCTAGCAACTTTTCAAAAGTGACAATGTTAACATCTGAGCAGCACGACTGTCGCCACGTGACGACTTTATTCTTGGCAAAGCAGACTGTAATTTCCTTGCAATGTCGCCAAGTAGTTGAGATGCCGATTCCATACAAGGCGGCCAATGGTGCAGATATTGCGATAGCAGCAATGTACAAAGGCACTTACCCCGTCTTTCCAGCAAAAGACATGCATACCAGCGCACTTCCTGACTCCACATCCTACACACAGTGAGCTGTACTGCGCTTCAGCCTACCTAGGTACCGTCTGCACCTCACGTTCGTTAGCTTCGACTCCAAACCATACATGGCCCAATGGAGATACGTTTACAAGCATCGTCGTAGAGGCTGTATGAGTGATCGAATCCACTATTAGCAGCACCGTTGGCTGATCCTGACGTCAGTATCCCAAATTCGGACCCGAGATTCCCGGCTGGGGTACGATGGGCATAGGGAGCGAAGAATGCGGGCTTACAGCGAGCGCTAGGCATGAGAAAGCACCATTTCCGGTACCTCTAACATACTTCAACGCGGGCGTCGATCATGGAGAGCTCAAACAATAAACCAATCACAAGATATAGTGGACAGTTTGACCAGCTTCTTCTCCGTCTCCCTCAAGTCTAAAATGATATGTGTGATCTTCCAATTCGTTCTTCCCGTCGAGGTCCTACTCCTGTTGCTGTTGGCGTTGCTGTGAAGACCTCACGGCGCACATGAACCCAGTCATACTGATCGCCGTCACGGGTACTCGGCCTCCTCACTCACAGACTTCCCGTGTGAGGTTACGCTTTCCCAGATTTGCTGACTTGAGACGAGAGTGCGCGGTCCCTTACGCTGTACAGTCAACATATCGAAGCTAGCCGACACCCCAGTGCGACTTGTCATACCATCCCTGGTGGCCCGCTTCCGCGTCGACGTTGATAGCGCGGCCCCGTCGAAGATTCTAGAAGGGATCGGGGCCGTGTTTAACATCCCGGCATTCGCGCATCACCGCTGGGCGGCAAGCTTCAGCCGTTGCAATGTTCCGGGACACTTATAGAGAGAAAAAGCAATGCAGTCTGGGTGCAATCTGCCGAACCAAGGAGAGCACGCCATCCTGCGACACATGATGCTCGTATCTGTTTGGAATGAATCACAGTCCTCCAGGCTACGCGCCCTGCTATTCGTCGTCCGCGTCCTCAATGCACGACCGCCGCAAGCCCCATGGCGATCTACAAGCGTAAGCGACATCCTTTCTTTTTCGGCTCTAGCCTACGTAGACAGGGTGCGCCGGCGGTGAGCTGCAAGCAACGCACCATCCAGACCCACACGCATCGAGTGTCGAGAAATGACTCGCTTGGTCCGCCGATTGTCTGTGCTGCCGTCTTCAGGCTGGGTATCACCATCACGAATTAGCTCGTAGCCGTCGACTGTGTCGTCTTCGTCAACGGACCATCATCGGCGACCGACAAAGAGCTCAGCTGAGCGGGTCCCAGGATGCTAAACAACTTCGTCAGACCGCAATCACTAATAATGACTGTCGTGATGGATGATGTTGTAGAAAAACGGATCCATTACACATTGGGAGCGACGAGTGGGTCTTGTGCCTTGTTCTAGGATCAGGAAAATAGGCGAAATTCAGGGCTGAAGGATCCGCGGAGCACACATTAGAGACATTCGTGCGGTCCCAATCTCGCCAATGGCAATCGTATCAGCTCGTACTATCCCACCCGCTGCCAATTTTCTTCATCCCGGCTCCCTCATTTCCGCCTGCCGCCTACTTTCCTCCTTGCATCTCATCAGTTTCCGCTCCGCCTCCATGTCGACAGTCAGCACACTGTCGCAACCTGCAGCCCATAATCTTGAGATCGCCTTCACCGCCTGTTCCCCTCTCCTATCTCCATCCAAGCTTGATTTGATTTTCACTACAAGTTCACAGCCACTTACAGTCGCATGGTTCATCATACTGAAGCCTTGCTGTGCCGATTTTCCGTATTATTGTCAAAGCCGAATCCAGCAGCGCCGGCTGGCTTACCGCCACGTGCAACCAAGACTGCCTCTAATACTTATGGCGTTGCTTCAGCCACTCTTTTCACTCCATACTTTACCATCTGACGTTGCTAGCAACCCGGAAACAGTGCCGCGATCCAAATACGCCGTTGAGTGTGGATGTCCCATCACAACCAGATTATGTGGCTATAGCGGTACGAAAAACATGCACACAGCGATCGCGATTCTACAATTTTCTAGCCCGCACCCTTCCAACGCTCACAATTTCTCTGTACACTGCCATTGGCTAATATGACAGCCTGAACCTCATTCTCCTCTATCGAGTCTACGTCTCGCGGTTCACGGTGTGGGAATCTTGCAACGTCTCTGTCCTTCACACTGTTGGTACTGAACGTTAGAATTAGAACTCGCCTCGCCAGGAGCTCCTAGTCCCCCCCCCCCAATTCTTGAAACTGAACCTCTTGCTCGATTGCCTTGTCGCCTTCGCATCGGCAGCCAACAATCTATCGGAACCCATATCCGCCGTTTCAACGGTCCGCTACAGTGAACCTGTTTTTGATTCGGCGACAGAAACTTGTCGTCTGATGCCAGTATCGACGAGAGCGCTATAGATGTGTATCGAGAAGCGGCAACAACAAAAGGCAATCGGGTTGGGAGCAACGCTTGATTTTCTCGACTAATTGTACAGCGAATTTAATGTAGAATATACTTGAAAGGAATGTATGAATCTGCGTAACTCACATAACGTTTTTCGGTTTAATTACCCTCCCCGTATGCTCAGTCTCAAGGCAAAAGAAATTTGGCGTATACAAAGAGTGTTGTTACGAAAACAGACCGCCTACTTCGTGCAAAACCTATACCCAGCCGCCGGAATCGTTGCCTTAACCGAAAAATCGTCTACCGCAAAGATATTGCCATTCTTACCCTTGGTGTTCACCTCCAGCGAAACAGTATGCGATACAGCATTGCTGACTATGATCGAACCCGTCATTTGTATCCAACCATTCTTATTTGCATTGCTAGCGGTGAAAGTCTGGACGCTCGTACCGTCGAACTTCAAGTTGAATGACAGAGAGTTGCTCGTCGTGATCGCGTCACGCATTGGCTTGATCCATGCAGACACGGTAACGGTAGTCCCAGCGGGTAGATCCTTGATATTGGCCTGTGTAAGTTTGAGGGTAGATGAGCTGCTGCTAGGTGCGGTACCACGGAAGACTCGGCCGCTGGAGTGACTATTGTCGTTTTGTACAGAGTAGTCAAATCCAGTGTCAGTCGATGTCCAAGGCGTGATGGTGTTGCCGGAGCTTGCTTCGAAGCCAGGGTTGATGAGGTATTCGGATTTAGCGGTGTAGCATGGAAGAAGTGATGTAGAAGTGGACGTCGAGGTGAATGAGGATGTGCGAGTCACGAGGGTTGTCGGAGTGGGTGTAACGGGAGCAGGTATGGAGCTCGAGGCTAGAGACGGCGTGCTAGTCGTGGAAGCTGAAGAGCTCACTGTCACTTCGGGAGTGCTAGAGACAATCTCGGAAGAGCTAGAAACTGTCTCCGGTGTGCTAGAAGCCACATCTGTAGGACTGGAAGTAGATTCAACTACAGCCGAAGAAGCGGTCGAGGTTACCTCTGGTGTAGCGGAGACGACATCGGATGAGCTAGGCGTAGCCTCAGAAGTGCTCGACAAAACCTCGGAAGATGTCGCTACTGGTGTAGAAATGGGAGTGGTCTCAGGCGTCGCGGAAACGACATCAGAAGAGCCGGGTGTGGTCTCAATGCTGCTGGAGCTGGGTGATACTTCTGGCGAAGGAGTAGGAGTAGGAGTAGTCTCCGGTGTTACGCTCGCGACATTAGAAGAGCTAGTCACAGCCTCAACAGTGCTGGAGATCGCCTCGGAAGAAGACGAGCTAGTTTCGACAATTGTGGAGCTTGCGGTCTCTGATGCAGAAGCACTTGGTGTCGTCTCAGGAGTCTGGGAGACCACTGCTGAAGAAGTCGGGCTAGGTTCGAGAGTGCTTGTGCCAACTTCGGAAGATGATGGGGTAGGAGTGACTTCCAGAGAAGATTCCGAACTAGCTTCAGGCGTCTGCGAAACTACGTCGAAGGAAGTTGGGCTAGTCTCAGGAGTTACAGACACGGTGTCTGAGGATACGCTGGCGGTGGGCTCGGGTGTGCTGGAAGCGACGTCGATAGGAGTGGTAGCCTCTGGAGTTGACTCAGACGTGGTGGGAGTGACGTCTGAAGAGCTAGCAACGACGTCGGTAGAGCTGGATGTGGTCTCGGGAGTAGGTTCCGGGGTGCTTGAAGTGACAACTACAGACGACTCGATCGAAGAAGCGGAAGGAGTATTCTGGGGAGGGTTTGAAATAATCTCAGTAACTGATGAGCTTACTGCAGTCTCGGTCGGAGAGGTGCTGGTAAGAATTTCGCTCGAGACAGAAGACGACTCTGCCGCAGGTGTACTTGAAGCAATCGACACAACATCGCTGAACGAAGAGGCAGACGCAGAGAGAGTAGAAGGAGTAGTCGACTCAACAGCAGGAGAAGAGCTCGACGACACTATAACCACGCTAGAGCTGGACGGTACGATGACCGAACTCGACGACGAGACTGACACAGTACTGCAGTCAACGGCCACAATAGAAACATCATCGATGTCAAAGTATGGACCATCAGAGGGGTTGTTGTCGACACGGAACTCAAGCTTATGCGTCATAGCCTTCGAGACAGTGTGAGGCGTCGACTCGGTATTGCCGACCCTGACCCACTTCTTATCACCATTGACAGGGACGAAATTACCAAGCTCAGTGCCATCTAGGTAGATCCTGAAACGCTGGATTCTCTCAGTCTCAGACCTTAGCGACTTGAACCATGCGGATACCACGACCTTGGTGCCCGAAGGGATATTGATGTTGTAGCGCGTGAAGATGGCCTTGTTGTTATCTTTGCTGTTGTTCTCGGTACTTGTTCCGCGAATGAAGTAGCTACCGGAGTGGGCGGATGAAGCGTCGTTGACGATACTGACGGTTGAGCGGCTTGTGTCGATGGTGTAGCCGCTGAGTGCTCCACTCTCGAAGTTGCCGTTCGAAACGTAGTTTGCGGATCGTGCAATGCAGGATTGAGTTGGAGACGGACCGCCCGACGAAGGTAGCGGGGTCGCGACAGGCGTAGAGGACACTAGGATTGACGACGAAGTAGAAGATGTCGAGGGGAGCGCTGCAGACGATGATGCAGAGCTGGAGGGCTCAACGATGACAGAAGATGGCACAACGCTAGAGCTGGTCGGGGTTTCGCTAGCAATGGAAGGCATGACCACGCTGATAGTTGGGAGAACAATTTCGCTGGAAGAAGAAGAAACGACCCCACCGAGAGTCGAAGAAACCACATCACTCGGGGTGGAAGAGGCAGCAACTGACTCGCTGGTCTCGATTGCCGACGAGGAGGTTTCCAAGATGACAGTAGATGACGCAGTTCCGTCGACAGTTGACGTAGTACCCTCAGCAAGAACCGAGCTCGAGATATCTGATGACAGTGCTGGTTGCTCGGTGCTAGTCGGAGTTACCTCGAAGCTCGCAGTGCTCAGCGACTCAGTCTCAGTTATTGTCAGAGTCTCTTCGCTAGCAGATGGTGTTGATTCGGAAGAGCTTGTAACAATGGCCGAGGGTGTAACGACATCAGAAGTGACAGCAGAAGGCGTGACATCCGCATCGCTCGAAACGGGAGTAACATCCACACTTACTGTAGAGGTGGAGGAGATCTCGACGGACGAAGATACGATATCGGAAACCTCGCTGGCGGTGGAAGACGAGCTCTCAGCAACTGGAGTAGAAGCCACAGGCGACGTGGTGGTGACGGTGTCGGTCGAAGAAACCACGTCCAGGCTTGTGGTTATCGTCGACGACGGTGTCTCTGTCAAGGTAGCTTCGGATGAGGTCGAAAGCTCGGAGGAAGAGGCATCGGGAGTAGCAACAACAGACGAGGATGAAAGCTCTGGAGTGTCGACTGCGGCTGAAGACGAGATGATGATCTCGGAGGAGACAGCGGCAGATGACGAAACAACATCCGAAGAAGCAACGACTGGTGAAGAGGAGGCTTCGGGTGAAACAACGGCGGAAGAGACGGCCTCTTCAGAAGACGTGATGGAGGTAGAGGACGCGGCAACGACCGAGGAAGAAACAGCAGGCGTCGAAGTAGCGCTCGACGACGATGGTGACACAAAAGCGCTGCTAGACCTCGTTGGCGTAACAGAAGACGATGTTGACGACCTCAAGGAGCTCGACGTCAAACGAGTGGAGGAAGATGTCCGACTGCTAGACGAGCGTATCGATGTCGTGCGGGTAGAAGAAGACCTAGCAGAGGAACTCCTCGTAGGAGTTGTGCGTGTAGAAGTCGTTCGCGTAGACGCTGATCGAGTCGAAGACGACCGGACAGAAGATGATCGAACAGAGCTAGTAGTCAATCTAGCAGAGCTAGAAGAAGAGCGAACGGCCGATGAAGAACGAGCAGAAGTCTGTAAAGTGGACGAAGAGCGAGCGTTAGGACAGATACCAAAGTCAGACTTGCAACCAGCGCCGCAGTGAGCGGTGCTAGAACCGCACCACCCATACTCAGAGCAGCAGTCTCCAAAGCCAGATCCAGCGCAGACGTAGCCAGAAGATCCACCGCAAGACCCATCAGGAGAGATCTTGCTGTCCGGCTTGTTGGTGCAAGTGCCAAACTGGGGTTTGCAGCCCTGAGACGTCTCACAGTGGGCGCGCGAAGAACCACACCAACCGTACCTGGGATGTTTATTAGTCCGCTTGGTCAGAAGAGTCATCTTCCATGAGTTACGTACTGCGAGCAACAGTTGCCGAACCGTGAGCCTTCGCACGTAAGACCGGTGGTTCCGCCACACTCCCCTGTTTCCGTAATCGCAGCAGACGAGACTGCCGTGAGGGCAGTCAAAGAAGCCCAGACGAATGCCAAACGCATGGTTGCGATATAGATGAACGAATGTAGACCTTCGCGTCAGAACGAATGATGACACTAGAAGGGAATCAACTAGAGAGAGAGTCGGGTAGGAAAGCACAAGAGACGATGAGCGAGTGATGTCTGCTGTGGACTCTCCATCCAGCATAAGAGACATGATCATATATAGTCCTCAAGTCCATGGAGAGAGAAGCTTGTGGCATAGAGGCTTTCATCGAATCCCCATCCCAGGCGTCACCGACGCCGAAAAGAAACATCGCGGTGGAAGTTATTTTCGTAAATAGTAGAGCCACAGACTTGGCAATTACCATGCAGGTACAGTGACGACGTGCCTGTCATGGCCCGAACATGCCCATGTAGGTGATGTGTTGACCTGCACAGCGTTTAGGTAGATCCACAGGCGAATAAGCGAGATGCGATGTTCCCCTTCAGCCAGGGAGGTGAACAAGAGTTACTACGCCACATGGTCCGACAATATCTTTCGCGCATAGCCCATCGCAATCGATAACGACGATCTAGACTCTAGTACCTGCAGAAAAGGCTGGACGGGGCTGCCGAAATGTGGGGTTGGGGTGTTTGAAATGTCCACGGGTGACGATCCCCGTCGCGTCCTTGTCGTGGAGGCTTGATCAATTAGCGCCGAGGTAAGCAATTGCAAGAAGGAGGGGGGGGGAGGGGGGGGCACTTAGGCGAGAGCCAAGATGTCGAAACAAGCAATTATCCGCCAGAGCTAACGAGTTGACACCCGTTTGCGCGTTGCGGCTGGCTGGAGTCCTGGTTCGCTAGGAGAATGCGGTCTTTGCCTGCGGGCGCACGTGGCGTGAGTTCCTGGAGCCAACGAACGTCCATGATACTGGGACTCTTGGTATCGACCCGTTCCGCTAGGTGTGATTTGCTTTTGCGCTTGACAATGTGCGGCCTTCCGGACGTCTAGACTGTGCTCTCTCATCCCTTGCTCTTGCGTCTGCCACGAGGGAAGGCGCTTCGAGGGGGTCATTTGTTATGTCTGTAAGGATATTTCGTATGGAGCAAACCACATCGCTCGTGGTGAGGCGGATCTGGGAATGTATATATCCTGATTACAAAGTATTGCACGTACTAGTAACGCTGTGTATCACGAATTGTACTGTTGCAGTGTGTGTCTAAGAATGATCGCGGAGTGTACACTCGGCTTGGCTCGTACGGTACCTGCATTAGTGTCCGGATGGCGTTCCCGTACTCAGCTGGCAAGCATCTCGACTCAATTAGTACGCCTGTTTCATGCCAAGACGTGGCTGAGGTAGATGCATGAGAGGAGAGAAACATAAGCGTAGCGGGATACGTCCGCTACACTCAACAATCCTATCGTTCCGCGCGCCTCCGCATGACGAATGCTATTGGGGCTGAACGGTCGAATCAAGTAGCGGATCGAGCAGTGTATCGATCAGATAAGTACGAAAAAGATCAGGGGGAGAGTATGTGTGAACCACGATGGAGCTAGGAGCTCCTTCTTTTCCCACTCAGAAGGGCAGCAAGGGCAGCACCATCAGTACCAGCTGAACACTTTGACAACCATCACTAGCAATAACAAAGACAGTGGTGACGACGGCATCAAAACAAGCAGCTGAGTTTGTTCTACTGTAAGCACCCGGTGCTGCGCGTTGCAGTGATGTGTAACGTGTATTATCTTCGAGTATTAAGCCAACCCACCACTCATTGCAGTGCTTCCAGCTGACACAGAAGGATGATTGCTTTGTTGAATCCTTCGAGAGTTCAGACGCTTCCGAGCATTCATGAAGGTATCGAAGTGGCCCGGCACCCATACAAGACATGCCACGATCTCTTTCCACACGTACAAGCTATGGTAAGACGCGGCTAAAGTTGCATTGCGAGATCGTTCCCTCGGAGCCACTCACATCGACCCGTCGGTGGCGCTGCCGAATCCGTCAAGCCAAGTTCCTTCTTCCAGTCCGCAGCATCCCATGGCAAGCAGATGTCTGCCAATACCTTGATCCATCCCCACGCCATCCCCAAAACCATGGCGATTCGCCAACAACCCGCACAATATAAACAACAACAACAACAACAACGTGCCATCCAAAAACGCCTTGGGGGTATCAAACGCCATATAATGCCGTAAACATATCATATCGTCGTCCATGCTTCCGGAAAAGAGATGCAACTCAAGGATTGGAGTGAACAAAGCGCGCGCCCTGACATGGCGAGCGGGCTTGCTTGAACGCCTTGATCCTTGGCAACATCCATCCACTCGTCCATCTCCGCTCGCCCTCACTGCTCTGATGGTGACCCAGTCGAATGGAATAGCCAAGGCGGCACTCATTACCGTCGTGTTCAAACTGCAGACACCTGCCATCGCCTACACACGCCTTCTGGCATCTGTCAAAGGACTTGGCTGCTGTCTTGCCCTTTCTGTATACGACGTCCTCGGACATGTTTGACCAGTCTTCCGCCCTGTCTTGCAGATTGGGTTCAATCATAGTGAACAGCTCTTCGAACATGAGCGGCCTCTCGGGATGACTCCGCGCTTCTTCCCACTGTGCCAATCGTGTAAAGTCATCTTCGCCGAGATGATGCATCGTCAAGACCGCCTCGCACCACTGCTCGTTGTCGAAGCGCATGGTAATGGGCTTCTCGCCGTTGAACATGGGCCAGTATCCTCGGAGTGAGACACCACTCTTCTTCAGCACCTGCGCCAGCATCTCGTCGCCGCAGCACTGCTTCTTGACATCGACGCCGAAGAAATGGGTCCCAGGAAAGTGCTTATTTTCACCAAACATACGGCCCAGCGCCATGATCTTATCGAGCGCGCCACGCGATAGGACAAAGCCCGTGCCGCCGTGTGCAAAGACCGTCTTCTTCTTAGGCCAGACCGGGGAGCCGAAGTAGTACGCCGACTTTGGATTGAACGTGGACAGGAAGCGGTACATGTTGTCCCAATTCACATACGTGTCCAGTTCCAGAAACACATACCACTCCGACTCCGGGCGGTGGTAACTCGTCCATTCGACCATAGGCAGGAACTTGTATTTGTCCAGACGCCAGCCCTCCTCGCTCTTATCACCACCCGCCGCTGCCGTGCCATTGGAGCTCTGTATGCGGTCATAGACGTCGAAGTCCGGGTTATTGAATTTATATTCCGGGCGGAGGTGGGCGAGGGCGTCGGATATGTCGAAGCCGTTGTACGTGTCTTTGCGGTCGGAGAAGATGAGCAGGTCCTGCTTGCAGCGCCCGAGTCGGTTGAGGTAGAGCGGCAACTGGGTTGCGACTTCGCCGGCGCCGATCTTGAGGACAACGGTCACGCGGTCCATGACGCCGCCGGAGAAGGGAGAGCATTCGGTGCCGTAGGCGACGTGCGAGGCAGGCCCGCCGCCGGGTGTCGCGGGCGACGGCGGGAGGATATCGTAGCCGCGCTCGCCGCGCCATAGGCGGACGACGAGCGTGGACAGGGAGAAGACGACAAAGACGGCGACGGCGCATGCGAGGCGCAACGGCGTCAATCGCACCCTCATGGTGGTGGTGAGGTGCGGCCTCTGGAGGTCATGTTTGGATGGGCCGGCCTGGCGCCATGTGGGAAGGCGCTAATGTACTCGGTGGAGCGAGAATCCGGCTAGCCGGCCGTTTGATGCGCGACCGCCACGGCCTGATTACGACATGGCCTTTACGACGTCCACGACAGTCATATACTCCATCGCTGCTCATCTGATCTAAGCAGAAATTAATTCGCAAAGCTTCATGTCCATATGTCCCAGCGCGTGCCACAAATGAAGCCTGTATCACGTATAGCGAAGAGTGGCGGACACGTCTCGCTGACTTCAGCACTATCACGCTGAGATGGAGAAAAGGGGACATCCGGAAAGATTGGGAGACTAAGAAATGAGATGATACATCTTGTTCTTCCCTCCGGACGGCATAGGTGAGGGGGTTTGTTGGTAAAGGGATGACGATGCGAGTGCTGGAGTTGATGGAGCTGATGGAGGTGCGGGCAGAGGCTGAGAGGCGGCAGGGTATCGATTGAGATTAGTGGTGTTCGCAACCATTGGAAGGTCAGGGTTGTTGTCTACTACGAGTGAGTTGCTTTGTTTGCTCCAATTGCTTTGGCCGTCGCGGATAGTAAAGTGGCATACCCACGTTCCTGGTTCGTTCTCAGCGCGACTTGTAGGATATGATAGTCGTCTTTTGGCAGCTGCCATGATAGCTCCGGCAGAGTAGTGCTTCGCGTTTCTCCTTTCACTTGCACTTGTCTAGTGGAACTCTGGGACCAATCAGCATCGTACCTGGTGAGTCCGTGCTCAGAGCGACTCGTCGTTCTTTGGCTGGGAGGGAGCAAACAAATGCGGTCCACGGACTCATTACCACAGCTTTCCTTCTCAGTTCTCTGCTCTTACTCACATCTCTCGCGTCACCATCGTCGAGATCTTCCGGTACGTATACACCCACACATAATCGGTAACACCATTGTGACCTTTGCCTCTACCCATGGTCACCTTGTAGCGACGTGCGCATTGCGATCAAAACGGCCGAGAGAGAATACTCAGCTGGCGGGAAGACCATCACCAACGAGGAGCTTGATGAGCACTCAGTCGCAACCGGCACATTCGCCATTGTCACGCGGAATGACGCTTTCGTACCTTGAGTAAGCGTGTCGATATCCGTTTGCTTTTAGACTATCACTGACGTTGTTATAATATCAGGTAATTCAAATAGAGATATATAACAATAAGATTTTGCTTCTTCAAGATACCGCCGTGGAAACGTTGCTTTATGGGCATAACGTGACATAGAACCTACCCTACCACATCAGCCTCCGTCTCCTTCGCCACGACATCCACCCTAACATCCGCAGTCTTACTCTCCTCCTCCGCCTCCAACCCTCTCACAACCGCCGGCCCCCTCCTGAGCATATTATACTCCCCACACGGCACAAACCCCAAATGCATATAGACCGGCCTAGCACTCGGCCTGCTCTCCAAATACATCGGCGTACTAACCTCCTCCGCATCCGCCTGCCTGATAGCCCAATCCATCAACCTCTTCCCCACCCCGCGTCCCTGCCACTCGGGCCACGTTAGCAAAGGCGCAAGATACCAATGCGGCCTCCCCTCTGTAATCTCCCTTCTCGTCTCGTCATCTTTGCCAAACTGAACGCTCCAAGTCTCATTGCTAACGTGCGACCACATCTCCTCGAGCTCAGCATCGCTCCAGCCCATCTTCTCTTGCCACCCGTAGTGGTCAACGGCAGTGCGGCGGAACATGTTGTGCACGCCCGGATTCGATGGAAGCGTCCAGCCTGCTACACCAATCGTTTCGCCCGTGGGGACGTAGACGGCTTTGATGAAATTGTGATGTGGGTCGGTGATGGCTGGGGTTAGGCGTGCAGCCATGCGCTGGATACGGATCTGGTCACTGTTTTCCTGGGGACGGAGATCCAGTGGTTCTTTCTTTGCCCACCATTCGTCGGGAAAACACAGATAGAGGCCCTCGGCGATCTTGGTTGCGTCGTGTTCGCTGCAGAGTTCGATGCGTATGTCGGATTCAGGCAGCCGTCTTGAGGGCTCGACGGGCATGGTTTGGAAGCCGTTGGTGAGGTCGGTGGGTACTTTGATGAAAGTAGCTTTTTGTTCTGCCATGATTGCGATTGCGATTACTCTTGCTGAAGTTATGCGTATCAATTCGTGCGTTGAGTGGGAAAATGCTCTAATGTTTGCAAGCGCATGCTGCCTTCCTTGTGTGAACTTATATACTAGGCAGCCTCATGCGATGACGGGCGTCGCATTAAGTCGCTCTGGCTTAGCGCTGACGCTCACGAAACATGCTGGTTGATTCGGCATGAAGCCTAGACTTTCGCGTCAGAAAGAGTCATCCCGCTTGTGCACGGAGTTGATGTTGGCCACAAGGAGCAAAGTGGCATAGAGGCGTACCCCGCTTCTCCCGAGTCGTCCTAGCTCAACGCGGGGGTTGCTCCGTTCGGAATCGGAATGGAAAGCTGCACCTGAACATCACACACGTCTTGACTCTTGTGCCATGAAACGCGTTTTCCCCTCTCGTAATCTACAATCAGAATGACTTTGAGACTGACAGCAGGTTTGTCCAGGCGCTTGATCACACGAGCTTGTCCCATGCCTTATCTTCGTCATGATGGCCGAGAAGAAGCAAACTATGACAGACGGTATGAATGCATAACTGGATGGAATTCCGGTCGCAGAGATACAGGGAACACAACTTAGCCAGGTCGACCGAGATGTTGACAACGAGAAACCCAACCTTTGCGATACCAGATGAACAGACTCTTAATGGGTACCTTGCGACTGGAAGACCAGGTATCTACATTAGTCCGAACGAACTCTATGGAGAGGTCGTGGTCTACCGTAAGGAGGGCGAAATGACGACACTGGAATGGACATCAGGTCAGTCACATGACCACTTATATGCAGTGGACATCGCCGGCAAACATGGAATACGCCTTCCGGGCATCTTGCTCGTTCCAAGTGAGACCGAAACGAGTCTCACCATCTTTTGGAAGCAGCCGGGTGGAGAGCAACTTGCCACCTCATTGGATCTCAAGCAGTATGAACTTTCGAACACGGTGATGGACGACCAACAAGCTCGCGAGATTGATCTTCTACATCTTTCCGAGCGATCGGAACAACGTGAGCCGGATAAGACTGGAACCATTGTCCAGTCGAATCTGCCAGCACAAGAAACTCGCAATGCAGGTGGTGTGTTTACTTCCAATGTAATTTTGTCGAAACCGTCGCTTATAGCTTCAGAACGCATACATGTCACAGCGCGGCGAACCTACTCCGTGCCCTGGGATCTGACTATTGACGGAGACTATATTGTGCTTCAACGCCTGTCCAGTGTTGATATGGCACCTGAAGGCTCTATCCGGAGGCCCTTACGCCTCACTGAAAATTGTAAGTACGTCTATCAACATACTCTTACATCGCTAATCTCTAGAAGCAACCATTGAAGTTAAACGCTACGAGACGGGCATGCATGTAAGCTTTCTCCAGCGCGTGTCAATCCCCAGAAAAGCTCTCGATTATCATCTTCCAGGCAGTCCTACAAGAGAGTACATCGATGATGTGACTTACTACATAGTGCAACCGCCTCGAGTCGAACGTGAGCACGACGATGACGGTACCGAAGGCGAGAACGAGAATAGAGAGGATGCAGATGTCCAGGAACAGAGTAGACAAGACGTATACTATGACGCCAAGTCACACCTTTCGGACCTATCTGGGGAGTTAAAGGTTAGCGAAGATCCTTGGGAGGTATTTGCGAAAGCGTTGAAGCGGGTTGTTGAGGCTGCGGGTGGTACATTCACTTGTCTGGCTGACCAGCAGTAGGTTCTTACTTGAACTGTAATATTTGTTGATCCTAGAAAGGTCATCTAAGTTTGTGTTGAGCGTTTGTCACTTCTCAGTTGCTTTGCGTGATCATAAAGCATATTATAGCCAACAGTCACGCGCACTTTGATCAAGCTTTTCGTTGCGCTCAGTATACATATAGCGTATCATCTCGCCTGCTCGATCAATATTCTGCCTCAGTAATTGTCGATATATCAGGATGCATAGTTTCAACAATTCAGGCGACAACGATATTGTATTAGACGGAGAAAGTCACTTCGCAGTACCTGTCTTAGAAGTCTGTATTGTCGACACGCCCGGAGAGACAAAGAATCACAAAACAGTGGTCAGGATCGAGGCAAGTGACGAGTTTAATGTTGAACCTTATCTGGTTTGGGACCCTACCTGAAATCAAAATCTATTTCTCTTGACCCGACAGAACGAACTTGAAGTCAAACAAAGATGAATTATATCATAATCTACAAGGTCGAATTGAGTTATGTCTATATTATCTAAGAACTATACTAACTCGCATGGCATAATTTACTATAGATAGCGCCAACGCGAGTCTGGCCGCGCGTCGGCGAGCTATTTACGAATGTTCACTCTTCCACTGTCTGACCACTTCGTGCGACGTGCGCGGGCCGACGGCTCTTTTATGTAAGTAACCAACCTCCACATCCCGACATAAACAGGCAATAAAAGCAGCTATGTGCCAGCGCCACGATTACATCTCACGAGGTCGAAATCATTGTGATAAGTCATGCAGCTACGCAATCTTTCGGTTCTGATCTTTCTTAGTCAATGCTTGGTCGCACAGTGCCTCGCTACCACTACTTGGCCCAACTCGTTTCCCAAGCAACTTGTCGCTAACCGGCGTCGTCAAGGTCTGACCACCTCGGAATACCTGTACCATCATACGATAGTTCATGGCCGCAAATCATGGAACGCTCCAGACACTGTCGACCAGCCTATCGCCTATGTTCAGGGCCACATCTTTGACTCAGCCTACGGCATCAATACCACGGAAAATCATGCTCAACCCTCCTATTTCGGCCACAACGACATAACCGAGCTATACAGCCGTTCTGAATCAGCCTTTGCCACACCACCATCGAACAACTACACTGCGACGGTCATCGGTCCCGATGGGAATGCTTTCAGTGACTTCTCGGGAGTGATGAGCTTTTACGCTCACGAAGCATTTCAGGACGTACAGAATACTTGCCAATCTTCCGATAATTTCGAAACTTACAACGCCTTTTATTGGGTTGTTGCAAATGCTTCCAACGCGAACACGTCTTCGTTTGACAACTCGACCTTCGCGGCCAACATTATGAACAGTCTTCTCGCGGACATCCCCTCCGGTACGATCTATAATGCCAGTACTCACACGCCGGTTCCTGGTCTCGACTCTCGTGCCTACTATGGTGGTTACAATAATCCAAGTCTGAACGGTGTCTTCAAATTCTGGCTTTGCGACGACAACCCCTCCGTTACTGCGTTCAGAAATGCACAGGCCAAACTTATTGCAAAGAACAAAGACCTTGGTATCAACTTCGATGCGAGCTTTGTCACCTTCAGTCGATCTTTTCTTCTCTATGATCGTCTGAATAGCATACCTTTTGATACTACAAGGGGGAATTACGCTCTTCTTGCAGACCGCTTTCGCGGCAATGTTGCGCAGCCCCCAAAGATATAGAATATATGGTGTGGCAACAATTAGGATAGGTGCATGTATTTTTGTAAGTTGTAACACTAAATTATCTGTAACGTCTGCTTCATACAAAAGTTCCAACCAATCAAGCTAAACACCCTAACTCTTTCTCTCGCGTTACTATTTGCTTTCGTCGTCTGTTACGATGCGTAGCTCTTTTGCGAGTACGAAGTTGTTCACGTTATCAATCTAGACTAGACCAAGACCAAGTCAGACCAGATTATTACGATCATTAGAAGATAATGACGATAGTTGAGGTTTATTCCTCTTTGTCCATGAGCACGCTTCAAGCAACGCGCGTCTTACCCTCGACATGAAGAACGCGTATACACCTAAACTGGTCCTCGAAGCTACAAAAAAAGGTATTAAACCTAAGCGAAACACTAATCATCATGAAAAGTTACCGCTTCAAATAAGGCCGCACCATCCACGTTGGTAACCACGAGATCACCACCATGGTCATGAAGAAAACTCTCAAATGGAAAAAGTGCCATGTGCATCTTCCTGTTGATGAACGGCATGGAGGCTCCATACACAGGACAGTTATGGGATGTGAAAAGAGTTCGATTGGTCAACGCAACTTACGACATGCGGAACACAATGCTATAGTCTTCTCTCGTTTCATGAATGAACTGGAGGCTTTGTTACGTCAAGGAAGGGTACAGAGATGTAGGAAGAAGAGGGGAAAGAAAATCGTCTTAGGAGAATGCAGCGGAGGCAAGTACCGACGGTGATCATAGCAGCGGTAATGATGGTGATGAGAACGACGATAAGGATGCTGAGGAAGTGGAGTGGCTGGAGGAAGGACAAGAGTAGAGTCCAACAGCTGATGAATGTGAGTGTTGAGGAATGTTCAGGAAGCTTTACCACGACTGGGTGCGATACGATTGACCGGCACCGGAGGGATGGTCGGAGCTACCTAAACACAGACCATAGTATGACCCATTGGCTGTACAAGCGGGTAATTGCTAGAAAAGTAAGCTGAAGGATAGTCAGACTCGTTCTGCACGACGTTCGTGTACTAAGATCAAGCCTCGCATAATCTACAAGCTACAATAGTGCTCTACCTTCTACCTTCATATCCATCCACCAGCTCAATTAGCAAGACCACGTTCACGAAATGATGATTCGGCTGGAATACACAGCTTCATAATGCAAGGGCTAGCGAAGCATTCCCTAGGCCCTGTCTTGAAGCATGATCTTCACGCTCGTTAGCAGGCCTCTTTCTGCCTATAGGACTAGTAACATCGAGTACACCGGCACAGTATTTAGCACAACCCTTATTTTCTCTACTATGCGGTATAATTTACCAGAGCGATATGTTGTTAGACACTATTATTAACGTTGTGTGTTCTTGTTGCTAATTAGAGCCTAGCGCCTAGCGTTCCCCGCCCCGCTAGATCCGGTCAGCGTCCGGTCAGTGGCCGGTGAGAGGATTTAGGTGCACTGCCCCCACGGGCTGCCTCTACACTCTAGTTTAAATCTTCGTACAGTAAGCCTGTGCTCTCTTTGCTGATCCGTCGCGACTGCATCAATAAATGTCAAACAACACTACAGTGCAAGATTTGTCGAATCAGAGCAGCACCATCAGACACTCTTGCATCGTTATCACTTCCCACATCAGTCAGAGAGAGAAGATCGCCCCAAGGCATCGTCATGGAAGCTGCCGCTGCGCTCGTTAGTTTTGTCGGCTTAGCAGGCCCCGTTGCGCAAGGTCTGAAGTTCTTATATGACCTCACGACCGACATGAAGGACTGCCCGAAAGATATTCGTGAGATGAAGACGGACCTTGAACTAGTAGAAGAGTTGATCACGCAAGTCATTCGGCAGTGCAACGAGCGTGATGTGCGACTTCGAGAAAGCACAGAATTGGCACGCGCAATTGGCCACGCTCAGGACAGCGTCGAAGAACTCAAGAAGGAAGTGGCTGCATATCTTGTGATTGGAAAACGTAAGCGGTTCAGGTTCGCAGTCAGGCTTAGCCAAACGCAAAAGCTGAGGGGAAGCTTGGATAGGACTAAGACCATCATGTTTGAGTTCAAAAATCAGCTACAAAGGTAGGCTATCCGAAAATTCTCTTGACGGTCACTAACATCAAATAGCGACCTGCTATATGACATCCGTGATATGAATCAAGAGGTCCTCAGATCAGTAAAACAGACAAGCAGAAATCTGGAAACATACGACACAAACGTTCACAGGGTAATGGAAAACTCTGAGGTCCAAGCGGAAACCGCGAAAGATTCCAGGGGTGGAGAGCCCTTTGCACAATTAGCAAGCGATAACTCCTTTGAAGGTCTGACAGACATTGGAATTGTCGCGAAGAAGCTCGAACATATCACGGAATTGTTGACGGAAACAAAGATATCGTCTTCAACAACTTCGTCACCATCAACGCCTGGATTGTCATGCGAATCGAGTAATATCTCTGTCATGAATGCGTCTCAGGAAACTACTGCCGGTAGTATTTTGAGCTCGCAAAGCATTGCGCCATCAGAATTCCGAAATACTCAGCAAGCGAACATCGCTTCAAAATACCCCCTTCTACAATTCAGAAACAACCAGGTAAGACCAATCGCGCATCCACTACTACTCATCTGATGTACCTGCGCAGTTCCAATTCTTGATCGCGACCATCTTCACCCAGCGCGCCGAAAACAAACAACAACTCGCTTGCCAACGCGCCTCAGAATGTCTGGCAGCATATCCAACGCCAGAATCACTTTCAAAGGCCTTGCCTGAAACTCTTGGTCAGTACTTCGGAGGAATTGGTTTGCAAAACCAAAAGCCACGTTATTTAATTAGCTTAGCTCAAGCGTATATCAGAGATCCACCAAAGAAGGGCAGACTGCGTTCGAAAGTTAATTGTCCCCGATCGGAGATCTCACATCTACCGCAGATCGGGCCAAAAGCAATCAATTCCTGGCTGGTATATTGCTGTGGAAGGACGGATATAGACACCTTGGATAAGACACTGCTAGGGTATATTGAGCATCTGAAAATAGAGGCAGGGACGTACTGACTTGGAAGGTTATACTGTTAGATGTGCTCAATTTCTCAAAATTGCACGGATGCTCATACTTGCTTAACAACTCCTTTGAAACAGGTGTCGTCCAGCTTAGGATGCTTAAGGTTGACAAAAGCTCAACATTCCCACGTTCGCTTCTGCTGCTGGAGCTCAGGCATCATCAATCTCGATAAAACTTCCACTGGTCTCATCATGCGGCAGGCAGAATACATCCAGGGGGAAGGTCTAAATTGGAGAATGTATTGCTATGTTAGACAACAGTAAACATTGGATAGATCTTGAGCGATTCAAAATTGTCCAGCATTGAATAGAATTGTATCGTCGCTAGTTCTACATCAGTCGTTATTGCTTGCTGCATGTATCGGTCTTCGTAGTGAGTACTACGTGGCGCGCATACAGTTAAGAGCAGGCTAAGTGTGTTGCAGAAATTATTGTCGAAAGGCAGTCCTGCATCAACATATTTTTCGGTCAAGAGTTTCGTTTGATCAGGAAACTGCTAACAGTAATGCAGAATAGTATATATATTGTCAGCTAGGCCTAGAATTTGGAAGGCATCTATAATTAGCAGGAAAAGCTCCGTTGCGTAATAATTACGCTGAATTGTCGTATTGCACAGTCAGTAGAATTTCTTGATTAAAGACATTGGAAACAGTAGAATTTACAGCTCAAGGCTCGCACCATAAGAACACCCAATCTTTCAATGTCCTGTGCCCTTTATTATGCCAAAGAATGTTCGTGGCGTCTCGCGACGCATAGAGAAACATCATCCATAGATTAGAAGCAGACTTTTGATTGTATATGAAGTTGTTGAAAGCAATGCTGGGCGGAGAGTGGATTGCTGGAGTTTCGGGTGAGTGTTCGGTTAGCCCGCGAGGTACATTAGCACGTAAGCCCAGATCAAGACTTATCGCAGTCCTACACACTTTATCAAGTATGCTGTTGGCTGAACCGGTTGAAAATGTATTTTACTGTATCCGTATTTCGTAAAGTTCAAGATTCATTAATAACAGGCTCACTCAATACCAATTTTACGGATCGACGAGCCAGCAAGAAGGCACAACTCCGGCATAGCGCAAGGGCTAGCGAAGCATTCGCTTAGCCTTGTCTTGAAGCATGATCTTAATGGCCCGCGAAGTGCCGCTGGCGCCTACACCCCGAGCTGTTCCTAAAATTAATCCAGGTTTGGTCACAGGGCCCTTGCTCGGCCTCTCAGCTTGAACATTGCAGGCAATGCGGCCGCTTGGCGACTCCGCCCACGTAGGCTGGTTCACCGGTGTTCATATAGCTCGTGAGTCTTCGCACTCGCATTAGAGCTGTCCTACATACACCTCGAGATGGTTGTTCCAGACCCAGGTGTAGATTTCTTCGTCAGCTTCAATGACCTCAACCCAAATGCGCAGAAACAATGCATATATTTCGTGAAGGCCGACCGTTCAGACCGACGGTGCAGGTGGGACTGCTCCGAATCCGATAACAGACGAGCGATTGAACTGCATCCTATCATCGCTCAGAACGAGTCGGAAGATAAGCTTGTAGATCATATCAGAGACTACATTCAGTCCAATTGCTGCTCCAGAGCAAAACATCGAGATGTCATCTTGTCCAGTCCACTTTTGATTCCTTTAGTGGAGCGCTGGCTGGACGAGATCCAGGTTAAGAAGGACTTGGGAAGGACTTCAAGGCCATCGGCTGATTCTTCTGCGCCTACAACGCCCAAACGAACTTCACGATCCAGCAGTTCAGTCCCCAGTTCATGCAACACATCTCCCTCCTCGGCTACTAGTCGCGCCACCACGGTTGAGACACCCTTGTCCAGTCCATCGCACACTCCTTTTGCTAGATCGGAATGGCCGATTATCAGCCCAAACTCATCGCGATTAGAAGCAAGTTCAGCACCTCTTCTATGTGTCTCCCCAATGATCATACCAGACAATGCGCCATTTGAGGCAGAGCCTCTAGGAACGAACAACCGGTACTACTTCCGTTCCCGCGCAGTGAGCGATTCCCTTACACAATTGTCTAAACGAGTCGAACTCTCCATATCGGCAGAATTCACCCCTCATATCCACGATCCTACGCCTGAAGATACTGTCGCATGGAAGATCTGTGAAGATTTGAACGTGCGAAATCCCAAGCGGGACCTCGAAACAGGAATGGTCTACATGTACAGCCGCAGATCGTCACCTGGTTATGTCAAGATTGGTTGGACGGCCAGATCGGTCGACGAACGTCTCGCACAATGGTCGGAATGCGGGTATACTCCTATCGAATTGTTCAGAGCGACTGGAGTTCCGTACGCGCAACGTGTGGAGACGCTTACGCATTACGAGCTGATCAAAGAGTGGCGTCGAGAGCAGCCCTGCAAAGGGTGCTTGAAGAACAAAGGTAAAAGCGTACGTCATCAGGAATGGTTTGAAGTAAACCAAAATCGGGCGATACAGATCTTGAGCACCTGGGTGGAGCTTTTCAAGAAGGCCAATCCCTACGAGCTAAGTGGATCGCTGAAGTCTGACTGGAGGGAAGTTGTCAATGGAATGAAAAAGAACAACGAAACTGTGACTTCAAAGAAATTGTTGGAGCACTATGAAGCCACCGTCGCAAAAGCATCCGTACGCATCAAGGAAACAGTAAAAGCAGAGGGAGTGATGTTTGTAAAGGAAAGATCAGATGCGAAGCAACGCGCAGATGCAAATGAAGAAATGGTTAAGAATGAAAGGATGGTCATCGAGAAAGAGATAGTTGTCAAGGAGGAGGAGATAACAGCCGAGCTTTCGACGCAGTAATAGTATCATATACATTGCGATTGGCGCAAGTTGAGCAACGCGGGCAAACTAGACAGTCTTTAGCATATCTGAGATGCTAGTAGTCGAGGAAAGCAGAAATGGTTCATGTTGATGGTGGTTCCAAGCACGTACATGACAGGGTTTTAACGATTGTAAAGATAGTAACGATAGCTCGTCATTTGTGAGTCAAAAGGCGACTAGACTTTAAATGCGATTGCTGCATGCCTCCAACATGTACTCATACATAGCTCACCACCTGAAAATCGGAGAACGTTAATCGCGCAATGCGACAATAGTTCACGAATGTATCAGAATATAACGTTGTATATTCGACCAACACTGAACAAAAAGTAAGATATATGCGATAACAAAGAAGAATGTTGATGTAGGGGTATTGTGCTGTCCAAACAAAACGCCTGACAAACTGATATGTGCGGAGATACATGCGCCAAATACAACGTACCAATGCGAACGCCCAAACTACCGATTACATGTCAAGGGGGTGAAGGGGGTATCCTACTACATATCCGAACGGAGAATAATGCGAAACAGCGAAAAGAAGAAAACAAGAAAAAAGAAAAAGGGAAAAGAGGAGGAAAACAACGCTACACCACGTGCGAATGATGCGCCACAGGGTCGCCCAACGTCCCGCTCGAACCCTCAGAGTACACCCACTAAGAGCACGCCTGCCAAACAAACCGCCTTGTATAATGCGCGACACATCGTGTTCATGCACGATCAGTCAAGACCCCCCATCAGCGACGCGACCGTCTCTGCCGACTACTCGGCTCGCCATTCCGATGACCCTGTCCAGCTGAAGTCTGCGAGCTGCTTACGCAATCCCAATTAAAAGGTATTTGAGAAGTCGGGATAGTAACACCTTCATACCGTCGCAGCCTCTCCCGGCGCGGAGGCGGAGGCGATTGCGCAAAAGCCTCCTGCCGAAGTTCTTCGAGCGCCTGGTTGGTAGCAGCGAGCACGGCGAAGCGTCTGTCAGGCACGCGACGCGCCGCCGTATTGGGTGTGCGGGAGCGAGCTTGGCGCGACGAAGAAGCTGACTGTTCATGCTGACGAGATCGGTGGTGGCGGTTCGCCGATGACCGCAGCGACTCTGGGCTTGTCTGAGAAGTAGTCGTTGTCGAGAAGCGATGTTGTCGAGATGAGCGTTGACTGCGGGGTGAAGACTCCAGTGTCTGGTAGCTGCGATGTTCACGTTTCGGTGTCTTGGGTGGGGACGGCGCGAACAGTGACCATCCGCGAGAAGGTTCGGGTCGAAGGTTCTTTTTGGATTTGGAGTGTCTTACAGGGTCGCGCTTTGCCCCGCGCCCGCGTAGAGTGCTTTGTGACGTTTGTTTTGGGTGCCGCCGCCTATGATGTTGGCTTCGATGGGGTCGCGGATTCAGCAGAGCCTCTTGAGATGAATTGACACTACTTGGCTCAGGTGCACGTCGATACATTTGCGGCACCTCGACATCTGGTACAGAACGGTGCCTTTCGCGATTGCGGTGGGCATCTTCGTAGTGGTGTTGCGAACGCGGACGGTGCTCCTCCCTTTCTCTTTCGCGGCGCGGCGAGCGTGGGGTAGAATCTCCAGATCGTTTCTTTCTGCTCGATTCCTTCGAGCTGCGCTTCTCTGAGTATTCTGCGGCAACTGGCCTTCCTTCTCCATGAAGCGCGTTATCCGCCGGCCGGTCCCGTCTCTTCTTTTCGTCCGATGACGACGAGCTCTTGCGCTTCTTGTTGCCCGGAAAGCCAAAGTTGAAAGACCAGCACATAGCGACCAAGATTTCAGGCTCGGATCGCTATGCGCCCAAGGTTCGAGTCCAGTATCCAGGTTCAGAAGTGGTGATGACTGCATGCATGTGAATGCCGAAGTTCGGAGTGCTAAGATGCACGATGAGGGACGCAAGGTGCTACTTAAGACGCGCGACACAAACCAATAGATAGGAACAACCTAGCGTTTCAAGGCAGAGGAGACTTGATGAGAAGCGGCCTCACTATTATGATATCATGTCAGGACAAAGAGTGTTCCGGCCTGGCAAGGGAACAAGTGCACCGCATTCGCGGCGTGGAGGCCGAATTCCAATAGACGCATGGCCAGAAGCTAAATCAAGAAAGGATTCAGTCAAAGTACCTTGTATCGAGGGTTTGCGCTCCAATCAGAGCGGAGCCCACTTGATGGTGTGCGAGGAAGTGACTGATTCGTAAGTTTGCACACAGTGGCTTACTGGGCCACATGACACCTCGGGCTCCAGCTGATCGACTCATCCTCTGGCGCACTGCAGATGTCGGTCTGCGTTGAAATGGAGTGTAGAACGCTGGTACATGCCAGCGCAGGGCCAGCTGTCAGTCTTATATGGTGCAGCGATCTGCCCGCAACGGTTTATGCTTCTTTGTGTGCGGCTTCTGTGCGTACCTGCGTCGCTGCTACGTGGCACCTGTGCTGTACAGAAGAGCGGCGGGACGGTTGCGGGACGATCCTGGGTGCAGAGTTCGGCCATGTTGCAAGAGTGATGGGCATGGCTAGCTGCATAATGGTGCAGCTTAGCTGCATGATGATGACCGCCTGACCAGCCCGGCGCTGCGACATGTTGGGTTCCTTATCCTTATCGGCCCATGAGCGACGTCATTGGTTCTATGGGGCCCCACAGCCCCCAAGCGAGCTGTGAATGTTGGCTGTGATGAACAGCAAGGTTTCAGCCATTTCTCATCATCGCCCCCAAGGGTTGCACGGCCGCGGGAGTGCGCTGTTCCTGCTTTTGCTGTTCCTTAGCACAGACAGCGTTCGTGAGACATCTGCTCCGCCTCGACGCCGCGCTGCAAGTAGTTCACGGAGCCTTAGTAGGTCCGAGGCTGCCGTCCAATAGTCGCGCGAAGACGCCTTTTCTCAACCAAACCGTGGCGTTTCCAATGAATCGAGGAACCATTCGGAAGCCAGAAATGGTCATCCTGTACTGCAACTGCCGTAGACACACCGCAAAGAACGAAATCGGCGGCGCCGGAGTATTGAAGAGGAGTCTGGAATGGAGCATAGTGCATGCTACACGATGAGTCATCCAATAGATAGCTAGAGTTGATCACGCATCATGAGGTCTGGAGTGGAGAACGCGGTACAATCCGAGATCAAAGCTGCGACCTGTTTCGATCGCACTTGTGAGGCTGACTCGGGTTTCGGGTTATTTGGATTACTACCACTTGGCAGGGACGCACACCAATGACCCGTCTCGTCGTTTATCAGTGAAAAGGGGACTAGCAGCCATCGCGGGATACGACGCGCAGAAAGCGAAAACGCGTTGGACGTGTCGGAAATACGCGTTTATGTCCGGGCGGGCACCCCGCTGTCGTCATGTCGCAACGACAGCGGCAGATGCAAATCTCCCACTCGATAGTCTCTACACTTCACGGTCACACAATCGATACAGATAGCTAAGATGCCTCTCCTCGCGCAAAACCCCAAAGACCGCGTCATCCTCGGTTTGATGACTTTTGGTACGTTTCGCTAATATACCATCTGCAACCCATCTCCAAAGCCATTACTAATGCATCTCAGGCCCCGATGAGAGCAGCGGCGCACGTATCACAGAGTTTGACGAATTCACCAAGCACCTTGATTACTTCCAGTCCCAAGGCTACGATGAGATCGACACTGCGCGCATGTACGTTGGCGGGAAGCAAGAGGCATGGACGCGCCAGGCCGGATGGAAAGACCGCGGCTTCACCCTCGCCACCAAAGTCTATCCTTACGAGGCCGGCGTCCACAAGCCCGACAGGCTGAAAGAGCACTTTGAGACTAGTCTCAACGAGTTGGGCGCAGACTGCGTGGACATTTTCTATCTGCACGCACCAGACCATTCCGTGCCATTCGAGGAGACTCTTGGTGCCGTCAATGAGCTGCACAAGCAGGGCAAGTTCGTCAATTTAGGGTTGTCTAACTTTGCCGCCTGGGAAGTCGCGGAAGTGTACAACATCTGCAAGGAGCGGGGATGGGTGAAGCCAACCATCTACCAGGCCATGTACAATGCTATCAGTGAGTGTATGCCTTTTTCCCTTTTAACTTTATTCTAACAGGCGCCAGCTCGTGCCATTGAACCCGAGCTTATCCCAGCTTGCCGCAAATACGGCATCGACATTGTCATCTACAACCCCCTAGCCGGCGGTCTCTTCTCTGGCAAGATCAAATCCAAAGATATCAAGCCTGACGAAGGCCGTTTTGGCACCAAAGCAGATCGCGTCGGAAGCATGTACCGTGACCGCTACTTCAAAGACGCTACCTTCCAGGCACTCAAGATTGCTGAAGAGGCTGCGCAGAAGCATGATTTGACCTTGCTTGAGATCGCGCTGCGATGGTGTGTTCACCACTCCGAATTGAAGACTCGGGTCAAAGGCGGCAACGACGGCGTCATCATTGGCGTCAGCAGCTTGAAGCAGTTGGAAGGGAACCTTGCTGATTTGGAAAAGGGTCCGCTCCCTGATGATGTCGTGAAGGCGCTGGATGAGGCTTGGATGGCTGCCAAGGCTACGGCGCCGACTTACTTCCGTTAGATGATGAAATATATGACCCATCTTGATTAATAGTTGAAATCATTATTCTACGTGCGCTATTATATGATTGTGATCATGCAGTTCTCTAAGCCATTCCAAATGCTCGTTTCATCGCCATTGTAATGGTCAGATACTAGAAGTCCTACTCTTTTGAAGATGTTGCCATTGACGCAGTGTAACAGGAGGCTCCACGTCTTAAAGAACGAGGTTGAGATGTAATCTCCTTGAGAAAGCCTGAACGTTCGCTCAGTATGGAATATGCCACCTAAGTATAAGCGATATATGCTCATATCGGAATTTGCTTCCATCAATCCCTGATCGATAAGGTCATAGTCCACATAGGCTTCCTCTCCACCGACAGTGAAGTTTGATCGAATAGAAGACGAATTTAGGCCTGTATGCTTGACTGAAAAGTGCCTAGTATCGTGTCCTGTACAAACTTCCGTATGCTTGAGACG